GCTCTTGATAATCATTCCAAGCCTTCATGTTTCCACAATGACAGGTTGGAGCTGGTTGGTAAGTTTTGAGCTCGTCCCAAATAGTTTTCATCCACGTATAATAGGCGTTGATGCTGAGTGATCCTTGAATAAGGCCATTCATGTTCTACTTCAGCTGGTAGATGCGTGGAGCATTGCTTTGTTGATAACGGAGCCTCAAATATGTCCAGATGGATTGTGCATTCTCATGGTATAATAAATTATCAGCTATTTCCTTTGTTACAGCATTCAACAACCAAGAAGTTACCATGCTATTACATCGTGACCAAGCTCCGGCAGTGGAATCGGTACTGTTCGGTTGGTCGTAAGTTCCATCTATGAAATCCAATTTGTTTTTGGCGTTCAAGGCTATTCTGATCGCTCTCTCTCATGTGTTATAGTTGTTGCCATTGAGAAGGTTGGACACCAAGACCAATCCAGGGTGGTTGGCACTGTGAAGGAAGAAGGGGTTTTGTGAATCATCTGATGGCTCTCTAGCCATTGAGGATTAAAATTTGAAGCTCAATCATTGAGCTAAAAATTGTTTGATTAAAAAAACAAGCTCTGATACCATCTTAGGAACAAAGAAGAAGAAGAAAATTTTCTGATATTGATTTTCTGATAATTTCATATTTTGGCAACACCAACCTTATACTGCTTGTACAACAGCATAAAGAAAAAGACAAAAATAGTTATGACTAATAAACTAATTAATCAGCCTAATATCAACTAATCAATGATTAATCTTGATACAATGCCATCATATATGGGTAATTACAAAATCTAGACAGATGGCCATCAAAAGAACAAAAACACCTGCCCCATTTGCGGCATATAATGCATTACAAAAATAAAAGCAAAAAACTCCAGAAGACCAAAAAAAAACCAAGAGATGTAATGCATAACAGGCAGCTGCAGACTGAAAAAGAAATGTAAAAAACCAAAAAAAAAAAAAAAAAACGAAGTGCTTTAGAGTAGATCGACAATCCACCACAATAAGCAATTCAAGGCCAAGCAGAATAAGCAGCAAACTGATGCAGCAAAATCCCATCAGGAACTACTGCTCGGAGAACAGACTGAATGCCTCTCAAAAAATGGAACGAAGTTGTCAGCAAGCACGCGGTTGTAAAAAAAAAGCTGAGGAGAAGTTGCTGGGGCCCCAAGCTACCCCTGCTTCGAACGTTCAAAGGTTATATATATTTCATATAACTATTTAAAAAAAAATCATAAATTGATCAATTTTTAGCGTTTAAAAATCACAGAGATTAGTACTAGAAAATCATAGTAGAAATTTGAAAGATAAAGCTTTTAAACGTTGTAAGGAATTTATCTTTTTGGTTGTAGACAATTTATCATGTGACAAATGACCAATAAGTTCAAGCCCCCACCCACATGCGTGGAGGAGGAGGAGAAAGGATTGATGGCTCAGCAACCAAACTTCATGATCCATGGAAGACAGTCACACGTGTGGTTTAACAGGGGGCAGTCGTTGCAGAAACAGGGTCGGGTCATTGTTGGTTGTTACCACATCAGACACCGCCAGATTGATCCAACAGCATATTTTTCAAACGAAATTGATAATTCCTACTTAAATCATTTTAAAAAAATCAGTTGGGTTTTTTCGATTTTTAGTTTTTGAAAATTAAAAAATTCAAATTATGAATAAAAATTAATCCACATGTAAAAACTGAAACTGAAATCAAAGAGAAGCCCTTTTACTGCAGCTTTTGCTTGTAATTTTTACATTTTAAAAATAATTTTGTAATGAAACCGATAAAATTCAAAATACTTTTTGACAGAAATTAAAATTAAAATATAATTTTGATGCGTTTAAAGTAAAAAATTATAATGTATAAAGTCATCTTCCTGCAATGAAACCGCAACACAATTGAAATGATAATCTCAGAGAACCATCCATGGATATCAGGACTGGATATTATACTTTCCGGATGTCTCAGAGTTTCACATCTTTTGCCTCCAAATTCTCATCCAACTCATGATAACTGACAAGGGAAAAACCAGCATTAAAACCTTCTCCAATTCTACTTTTCTTTTATGTATTACAAACTAAGCAAATTTCTGCAATTTCCAGAACAGATTCTACAAGGATCTGGTCATTCATCTTTTGAGGATACAAGTGTATTCAGCTTCCCGTTGGGACCATATATCCTTCAAAGCATACAACAGTAGGTAAAACCCATCACTTGAAGCTGCAACTTTGCAGCTTTTTTATGCAGAAGAAAGAGGCCAAAAGATCTCATGCTTGGCCAACCATATTTCTCCAACGCAAGACCATAGCAATGATAGAGTTCACCTGCTGGTACCCGGTTACCTTTGCTCGACAAGATTAATTTTCTCTCATGTATAGTCCTTCTTCAGCAATGCTTATTCATGAACATGTGACACAAACTACATTCTCCATAAAGCATCAATTGGGTTCTACCAGCCTGGTCAAGTTAGCTCCATTATATTTATCAGTATTGTTTAAACAAGTCGACTAGAAAAGCTACAAGTTAACATCATCAAGACCCAATTCATACCCCCTAAATGGTCATCTGCAGAAATGCATCACAGGATAAGATTACGTAGATGCCTTTTCTTCCCCTATTTTTATAAAATGTACACTTCATTGACCAAATGAAAATTTATTCCCCATGATAAATGTTATTAGTACAAGACCAAACTAGATTCGGACCGGCAATTTGATATTTTAAAAAAGGTTCATCCATTGATTGTAAATGCAATACCTATTTTGCTATTACCATCAATAGTTTCTTCCAGTTACGCGCACATTAACTCCTAGATACTTGCACCTATTATCACTAAGAGCATCACTCCCTGCTGTAAATGTGATACCTAACACGTAATACCATTAAGAGTTTCCTCCGCTACCATAGCATTATTCATGACATGTAAAGTTCCTATATCTGCACGCCTATTACTATTAGGATTTGTTTTCCCTGTTTTCACACACTTAGTTTTATTTAACTACAAATGTCAATATATGGATCTTTTAAACTCCTACAGGTGGTATGGTCATGTGTCTTACTAACCATGATATAGTATTGTATGTTTATTGAAATCATGAATATATTTGCAACAAATACTGCTAACGTTTACGTAGGCCTTATATTGAGTGTAATAAGCAAAGTATAGAAAAACTTCAAAGCATAAGGACTCTCATGATTGGAATGCAATAAAATGCCCAGCTCTCTAGATAAATTAACCAAAGAACTCAATTTTCCAAGCAAGGGCCTACAATCAACAGAAAAATATATAAGCCAAATTCTATGTCAAAGCAATAGCCAAGAATAACCAACAAGAAATCAAGCCAACTTATTCTGAGAATTCTGCAGCAATCAAAAATCAACACCAAATAATAATCTAAGATTGTCCACAAATGAAAAATTGAGTCTTCTGCTCCTTCAAAATATGATAAAGATCGTTGTGAACATTAACATCACAAGAAAATCTACTTTTCATCTTATTACCTTAAAGTGGAAACAGAAAATATGGAGATTTGTAAGATGGCACTGGCACATAACAGCTGCCGATGCTCTCTAAAAATTAGAAAGAACATAAAAAAATCAAAAAATAAAGAAAATAATGAATATTCAGGTATCACCAGCTCCAGCAGTGAAAGAAAATGCCAGAGAACTGAAATCTTAAGGCAGATAAAAAAGTTTCTACAAGTGATACATCCGAGAAAAAGTCAAGCACAAGTGATGATCTCTGTCGTCCCCCCAGCCTCCCCAGCCCTTGAAGCCAGCTTTATACCCTGACTTACGTTGATCGATGTGTACTTCCCATTTTTCATTGATGTTGGCAACTTTATCCATTTCTTCCATTGCAGTATCCAAAACACCGTTAGCAATACAAGCACCTTTCTTCCGTTGGCTGTGATGCAAACCACACTTACCAAAATGAACTGCACTAGTCCTAGGCCCCCGTATCGTATACACAGGACTTCCAAATGAAGGATAAACAGTTGCCCACATAGTTATGTCCCAATTATACTCGTCAAAGAAACAAAAGTCTCTCGCTTTCTTATGTATTTTTCTCCAAATACTCCGGTTAAAGGAATAACCCACATTTCCCATTCTCTCAGCAATCAGACTTTCCCATCCTTCTCCTCTTGAATTCACATCACAAGGTGCTAAATTCACAGCATAGCATTCAGGGCATTTCTGAGGCTTCAGTGCCGTAAGTATCTGTAAATTGCGATAGGCATTGGGGAAGATGAAGTGATCTTCCTCTATGAAGAGAATATGTCCTTTGTGCCCCTTGGTTTCCTCCAAACCATCCCACACTGTGTTCATCATCCACCACCAATGATGCTTCAACGAAACTATCTTTGGGGACCGATGATTTCCATACTGATCAGGGTTTCCTTGACAGTGTTTCATTGATGCATCATCCTTATCTTTACAATCATCGGGTGATACCCCTGGAAAACTATCCTGGAAGACATGAGGTGAGTAGGGGGAAAAAATCTGTTTGACCCGGCAAAACTTGATACCTTCCACTATCTTATTCATATTTTCGAAGTATCCATCATGACTAACGATCAATAGAGTTTCGCTTATCCCCACTACATTGGCCAAGCTCTGAACAACCACTTGAAGATACTGCGGCCGATTATGTACATATAAAACAATAACAATATGATCTTTCCCTAAATGCGGATACGAATCAATGTTTCTTGGTGGTAAAAGGTTTCTCCTTTCCAACTGAATTGACAATTCATTCTGCTTAGGAAGGCTAAGTTGTGAGAAATTGAAGCTTATTTCCAAATCTTCATCTACTTCATTCCCAGGAGTAGTAAACCTTACTTTTGGATTTATTCGAAGTGGATATATCAATAATAGAACCCCAGAAAAGGTAACTAGAAATACAGATATGAAACGCCGCATGGCTGAATCTTTCAAGCGCGATTTCTTGTAAAGGCTAGCCATTGAACAGGCAAGAACAAAACATCAAACACCTTTCAGGTCATTGACTGTCAACAGCACCTGATGCGTTCGTTCTCCAATGAACAAAAGGACAAACTTGATTTCAAGCATATTCAGGTATCAAAAAGCTGCACGTGCACCAAGCTATTCAAGCACCCATTTGAGAAGCAAAGGGTCAGTGTCACAAATCTCAAAACAAAAGTCTTAACCGCTTCATTGCCAGCATTAAGCATCCAAAGCATGTTGTATCCACACCAACAGCAATGTGCAAAGACCCGAGCTCTCTATAGCTGCAACTATAAACAATGAGAAAACAACTCAGGGTTTAGCGGCGAAAAATAGCAGAACCCGCCAGGGTCTTAGACTCGTAAGTTGAAAGCGTTGAAGAAAGAGACAGGTGAGAGAAAGCAGTTTCACGTGGAAGCATTATTTGAGGAATCTGGGTTCAATAGAGTAGAGTAACAGAAACGCTGGTGTAAAAGTAAAAGGAATTGAAGTTGAACGTATTGTGGCGGGGGGTATAAAGTTACGAACTTTGAAAGAGAAGGAAATAAAATGAATGAGCTGAATAAGAAGTGTAACAGTGGCATCGCATGTCAGCCATGCGCATGAAGAAAACGTGGGTCGACCCGCTTCCCCTTGGGCTTCTTTCGTTTGGGGGTTTTTTTTCCTTAAATTTTGAGGAAATTATTTTTTAATATATTTTTAAAAATACTTAATAGTTTAAGTCATTATAAAAAAATAATATTTAATTATTAGAAACCAAAATAATGAATATCTAACTTAAATTAATTTAATTAACTTCCAACTAACAGTCTAAATTAAAAATCTCAATTTATTATAAAAATTATATATATATATAACATTGTGTTAAAAGAATATCCAATTTAAATCTGTGGTGAAAATGTAAAAATAAAATTAGAAATTATAAAGTATCATTAAATTGAAAAGAAATACTATTAATTCATATGTAATAAATAATTTATTTTCGCATTAGTTTATTTTTATATTCAATAAAATACATCTCATAAATTCTTAATTATGTTAACATGACAAAAATACATATTTATTATGTTTAAAATTAACATTTAATTTTTATTTTTATTTTTTGAAAAAAAGATATTATTACAAACTACAAATTCAGATCAAAATCTCAAAAATAGATTATGCCCTCAAGACATCCTTTTATGGATATTCTCAATAAACCCTAAGATAGCAAGCCTGTGAGTACAGTTGCTAATACACAAAAATATTAATTTAATTTTTATCGATATCTATGACTTAAGTTTTTGTCATTAGACCCAAAATATCAATTTTTAAAAAAGAAAAATAGAGTTTTTATTTTAAAATTAAAGAAATCAAAATCATAATGGAGCCAAATTCCTGTATTTCTGAAAATTTTTTCTAATACCACATATATCATAAGTGGGAAAGAGATGGGCCAGCAGGGCACGCAAAGATTTTGAGTGATACATGTTGATTCAGATAAGGTCTGGAAGCAGCACTGCAGAATATCAGTACAACCACATCCATATATAATTCACCCAACACACACCTCATACCAAAATCAAATCCACTCATAATAATGGCAGCCCAGCTGGCTTTCTCTTCTTCTTTGATCCCCACCAAAGTTTCTACCTTTCTCAACTCATCATCGTCTCTGCTTCTCACCCAGACCTCACCCAAGACCAGACTTCGCCAGTCCAGAACTCAAGCAAAATTGGGTAAGCCATTTTATTGTATTCTAACATTTTGCTTCAACTTTTGTTTGGAAAGTTGGCTAAGATGGGGCTTGAGGTTATTTTAGGAGGAGGAGATGGAGGGATTAATCCCAAAGGGAGGAAGAAGTTCATTACAAGAGAAGAAGAACCAGAACAGTAACCATTTTTTGCTACTAAAACTGGTTCATAAAAGCTAGCCATTCAAAATTTTATAGGTCTTTACTGATCTGTAAAATGGGTTTTTGCAAATTTGCAGGTATTGGCAAACTGCAGGGGAAAGGGAAGGAGAGAACCCTATGAAGACTCCTCTCCCTTATATCATCATTTTTGGTATGTCAACACCTTTCGTGATCTTGGCCATTGCTTTTGCTAATGGCTGGATTAAAGTTCCTGTCCGGTGAAGGTGTCAAGGCAGGAACTGGATTGAACACATTTGAGTTTTGGTTTTCAGTTCAGTTAATAAGAAAAGTTCTTCAGTTCAGCCATCCGAACTCTCACATGTAAGCATACATCTTTGCTGACACATTGGGTAATTTTAATGTTCGACTTATCAAGATCTCTCTCATCTAAACTCAAAAATTATACCATCGTAGAAATTGTCTGTAACTGTAGATCAATGAGTTTCAGTAGTAGTTTTAACTAGACTGCAACACCCTACATATATTTCAGTGAATACCGTACTATTGCAGAGTCGGAAAGCAGTGTCTAAATGTTTACAGCAAGTATAAACTGACGTAATTGATGAATTAGGAGTCATGCCAAACTCATTGCTCGCAGGAATATACTTTACAGGATCTCAGTTTGTAAAAACAGATCAAGCATAAAATGGCGGAAATTAAAGTATCATAAAGCATACCTTTATGAAATTGTTGCAGGCGTATACTTGTCAGACTTGCTTGAAGACATATCCAAAATTCAAGTGACGATATCTATAGCACAGGCTGCACAATGGTCTTTCATACCAACTCATGAACAAAGGGCCATCTTAACTATACCTTTTCTTTTTGTTCATTATAAAGATTAAATCACAATTCACATAAAGCTCACGACCACCGCAAGCAAAAATACCCAGATCTAAGATGATTAGCATTTGTACAATGGACTATGTTTCCTACACTATTTTCTTTTCTTCTCTTTTCCTATACCTACCAATCTAGTAACCATAACAGTTTCCTTTAATAATCTCATGTAAATGAGCTGCAAAGGAATATACATTAACTCTTCACCCCCTAGAGGGCCTGTATAGCACTACAGTCACAAACTTTCGGTGAAAGCGAGATGTTGTCCCAATTGCCTCAGGCTCCCCATCACTAGAGTCTTGCTTGTAAAAATGCTCCAACATTGTGTGATGAGGCCTTGGCAGTGTAAGAGGTTGGGCAACATCAGACGGTGGTCCATTTAGCAACACCGTATCAATTTGTGGAGGCACCTCAGGCGGATGCTTATCAAAATCAAATGCATCATCCAAGGATATGTTGTCATAGCTGGATAGTGGAGAATCAGGAGTCTCGAACTCAGCCAGGGTTTCAGGGGCTTCCTGGACACATTCCTGTGATGCACATTATTTGTGAGTTCAGCTGTACTTGATTATTAAAAAAATCTCTAATGCTAATCTGATAATATTATTCCAGCAAAGTCATTATCAAGAACATGCTAATATCATGCGCATGGCCAGATCAGGTACGCTTAAGCAAGCTAAGACATATATGGAAAGGTCATCATGTTATTATAATCTACCCTAAATTTTACATCCATAGCTAGAAATAGAAGAAGATAAACAGTTGCACTAAAGCAGCTCAAACATACATGGGAAGTAGTCACATCAGTAACATACTCTCGGTGAATAAGACTCCCAACACAGGATCAAAAGATTGACTTGATTATATGATGTTCAAAAGAAAGAAAAATGTTTGTAGTTTAACAACATCTGGAAGTGCCTATGTCCTATTCGCTTATTTTGATTGCTTCCAATATTCTGTCCTCCCCCAGAAATTGAAATGAGAATGATCTTTAATTGTTGTGGTTTCTCTAGGACCCTGCAACAGCTTTTCCAACATTATTTTGGATTGAACCATTCAATGACATTGTCTCTTATTGCTCATCCAAGGAAAAAGAGAACTATAATATTTAGTACCAGGAATGAACTGATCTACAGCTCATGGAGGGAAAAGTTGAGCAGAATGCCAAGCCATTTTCAAAACAGAAAAGATGATTTTCTGCTCATGGCAGGAAATAGGTAGAGTAGTTTAGAGGAAAGACAAAACATTAAACATTCAGACATTAAC